TTGATGTGGGACATTTTTTTTCCCTTTGTCCGGGTTGAACTCCCCAGCAAGATTTTTATCGAGACCCATTTTATGCACCCTATTCTCAATTGTTGTACGTTTTATATTCTACTTAATGAATATCGTACTTTTCTCAAACATAAAAAAAAAAAAAAAAAAAATACTACTCCTCATTGATCGTGTTAATATCATTCTTAATGCATTAAAGCGATTCATAATGTTGGCATTTGATTGTGCACTAATGCTCTTTGAATTACATTTTTCACTTTGAATATGTCATCTTGGTTAACCCATTAATTGGGCCATTATAGAGTATAACATTTTTTATGCCGTCCTTAATCTATCCATTTTGTAGCTTTTCCATGTCCTATATAAGCACCCTTCACTCCGTGAGATAACATGGACAAAGCAATAAGAATAACATTTGGTTAATTATATATATCTCTATTAGCGTAGATAATTATGAGGATCATATTTGAACTACATTATTGTTGGCCCATTGTGAAGCTAAGCCAATCCTCTCTTCCTTAGTGTAGATAATATCGTTTGTTCAAAAACAAAAAACAAAAAAATTATATGCATCTTTATTATGTTTTTCCCTTGACTAACCCCTTTTTGATATCGATCTTCAAAAACTAACTTCTCTCTTAATCCATCGTTCTGTAAGTGTTATATTCATTTCCTGTATTCATACCAAAGAAAGAATCGAGTTGTTCACTCGATCAAAGTATTGTGAGTGTATGCTTACGAGGATCATAGGGTGTTGTATCTTGGAGAGTAAGGTGTCATAACCTGTTACATTGAGACATTGTCTTAGAGGGGCGAAAACTACACTTAAGGATAATGATTACACGCCTCTACCAAAAATATGGTTCTGATCAACTATCAACAAAGAACCATTTCTACCCTATAGAAGGTAAGTATTTTATCTTATTGGTTTATTTTATTTGATAAATTGGGATAAAAATTTGTAATCTACTAATATTTATTTTATGTGATTTGTTGTAAGAGAAGTCGCATCCATATCACCGAATATTTCCGACATTTTTAGCCCTTTTTGTATGGGCTCCTCATTGTTTGGGTTTAGACACATTTTATATGTAATTATTGTTTTGGGCACAAACAATAGCCTTTATTCGTAATATATATGCACATGTGACATCCCATTTGCACGATCCCCATATATTGGGGTAGCTTTCTACCTACATAATCTTTATAAATTGTCCGTTTGGACTTTGTTAAATTGCCTCGTGTGTGGTTGCTTTCGGTTGAGGACCAGAATTATGACAACTTGAAGATCCGAGGCTTTTCTGGATCTGTGGGATTGGGTCCATTTCATCGGAGGTGTTGTGTTTGCAATGGTCTTTTTCATTTTTCTGGTGAATGGCCTTCTTCCCTAGATTTGCGACGGTGACGGTTGGGCGACCTTTCTAGTATTTCTCTTAGGTCTTTGTTTGTGGCTAGTTTTGGGCCTTTTTGTGTTGGCCTGTATATTATTCAAGTTGATGTCTACTTTATGTAAAAACATCGAGTTGTGAAATCTCTAATTGACAAGAAAAAAAAAATTATATGTTTTGATGTATCCAAATAATTTAGGATTTTTTAGTATATGTCAACAAATAATTGAACCCTTTCCCCCAAATTGCATGGGATAACCAGCATATGAAGCCTACGTGTCCCTCTTTATGCCAATGGATGAAGAGCTCAGGTCTTAATCTACAGGCTCTCCATGCATTCATATGTGTGTGTATTCATCCATTTCCGTTTCCTTGTTAACAAAGAAAGAAAGAAATCGTCAAATGCCTGCATGCAGTAAGTTGCTGCATAATTTCTCAAGATTTTCCTTGACTACCCCTTTTTGATATCAATCTTCAAAACTCACTTCTCTCTTAATCCATTGTTCTTTAAGTGTTACATTCATTTCCTGTAGTCATACCAAAGGAAGAATTGAGTTGTTCACTTGCTCTAAGTATTGTGGGTGTACCTTATAGGTTGTTGTATCCTGAAGGGTAGGGCACCGTAACCTGTTAAACCGAGACATTGTCTTAGAGGGGCAAAAATTACTTTTAAGGACAATGATTACACGCATCAACCTAAAATATTGTTCTAATCAAGTATCGATGAAGAATGGTTTCTACCCTAAAAAGATAATAAAATTGTGATATACCAATATTTATCTTATGTGATTAGTTGTAGGAGAAGTAGCATTCATATCGCCGAATATTTCCAACAATCTGAAGAGTAGATTTTGGCTGCTGCTCCTACTACTTCTCAATCACATATATTCCTCCATGACAAATTTTTATCCACGTTAGCTACATGGATAATTTAAAAAGTGAAGCGTGATTGCAATATATGTGGAGCTTTCAGATAAATACCGCAAATTATTTGAGTCATTGAATTATTTCCTTAACTTAAAACATTTCTAATAGTTCGTTACATGAGCTTGTGTTTGTATGCCATCAAGGAGGCTAATTCCCAGTGATTTTGTGAATCTAAAGCTAAGGAGCAAGGCATATGTTTTATGTGTAATGGCTTTGATTCTTAAAACATAGTAGGTCATTCTTATATACTTTGAAAACGAAAATCAACTACGAGTCTCACGCTTGTGCTTTATTTTATTTGTTTTGAGAGAATACGATAATTTTATTGAGAGAGGTACTTAATGAGGATACATATCATGGTCAAGAAGCTCCCTAATAACATCAGGAGGTTCTTTGAACCAATGTACTGAGGTACCTTCAAATAAACTAGACATAGCAAGGCAATGAGCCACACTATTACATTCCCCGGGAACATACGAAACTTTGCTTTCCACCAATTCTGATAACAGGACTTGAATGTCAGAGACTATGAACCCCAAATTAGAGGTCAGCAAGGTCACCCTTACAAGCCTCCTTAGCTTCAATGGAATCGGTCTCCACCTGCAACCTCAACAAGCCAAAACGCAGCGCCAGTCTGATTCCTTCGCGAATTGCTAGTAGCTCGACCTGTTTTATGGAGCAGCATCCTTGAGAACGCCAGCTACCTGCCACCATAAACTCCCCATTCACCCCGCGAATCACCGCTCCACCTCCACCGACACCCTCCCCAACTTCGCAGCCCCATCGACGTTCAATTTGACCAATTGTCTCTGGGGGCCACCCATCTAAGTTGTTTGGGCACCTTCACACAACTGGGGTGTAGATTAGCTTGCCTAAACTCATGCAACCCGCTGAGAGCACGCTGGGCAACTTCTATGGGATAAAAAACTTAACCTTCCCAAAGAAATTTATTACGTTCCGTCCACAAGGACCACATAAGCATCAAAACGGCATCGAAATTGACACCGTCTTTCACCAACAAGTGCATTACCCATTCCTTCGCCGTGTCTAAACCAGAGTCCTCCCCACTCAGCCCAACACGAGCAGCACACCACACAGCTCGAGAAAAACTGCATTCTCCAGTCACGTATCTTAGTCTCCCACAGGGCATCACAATGAGGGTACGAAGCATCAATCCGAACCCCTTTCTTACCCAAATTGACTCTAGTCGGAAGTATATCACTGCAAATGCGCCACCCACAAACCTTGACCTTCGGTGGAACCTGAGCCCTCCAGATGGCTTCCCACAGGCCACCATAGGCCCCGCCAGTATTGGATGAAGATGACGCCGCAAGAGACGCTAGCGCACCACTATCCAAAGCTATTTTGTAAGCACTCTTCGCTGAGAATTGGCCCGTACGATCATAATGCCACATGATCCTATCTGGTACCCCTCGAAAGCTCAACGGAATGGAACTAATTAAACGGACCTCCTCCGCGTCAAAAAGGCTGTGGAGCAGATCAACTCTCCATAGTTTATTTTCATGAGAAATCAAGTCGCTAACCAAAAGATTCTCCATAGACCGAGGGGGCGGTGTGAGAATTCTGAAAGTCAGCAGATGAGGAACCCAACGATCTCGCCAAACAGAAACCGAGGGCCCATCTCCAATAGCCCACCGTGAGCCTTCTTCCAACACAAATCTAGCCCTCACAATACTCTTGCAGTAGTAAGAAGCCGTGGGTACTCCGAAGCTTCTCAGAATTGAAGTCTCTTGGAAATCAATGCCTTCCTGCTGGTGATATCCCTTTGCAACCAGGCAAGCTTTAAATCTTTCAACATTACCATTAGGCTTTTTCTTGACTCTAAAGACCCACTTGCAGCCAACAACATTTTGAGAGGAAGATGTAGGTACTAAGGTCAAAGTACCCGTGGATTGCAAGGCATTACATTCATCTTGCATAGCAGACCTCCAATGAGCATGCTTAGATGCTTGCAGATATGTAGTTGGTACATCATCAATATCTAAAGGAAGGAGATGCTTAGTAGCCACATAGACTTTAGGCTTGTAGATTCCAGCTTTGGAACAAGTGAGCATGGGATGAATTTCACCCGTAGGCACTGGAGGAGATGGATCACTTGAAGAGAAAGGTTTTGTGAGGGAAATATGATCAAAATTATGGACAGAACTTGAAGATTCATGATTCTGTGCTTCACCAATATCTGAACTTGAAAAAGGAGACCCTGAAGAGGACTTCGAAAGTGGAATAGAGAGCTGGAGATCCATAGAAGGTGAAATAGATTCTTGAATAGCAGCTGCTGCCTTAGGAAGAGATTGAAAGGGATATGCAGTTTCATTAAACTGCACACGTCTTGAAATATAAATTCTGCCAGTTTGTGGGCCAAAACACCTATAACCTTTGTGTTGTAAACTACACCCCAAAAAAACACAACTTTTGCTTTTGGCATCCAATTTTGAATGAACATAAGGCTTGAGCCATGGGAAACAACTGCAGCTAAATACTTTCAATCTGGAGTAATCTGGGGGTTTGTGAAAAAACAATTCCCAAAGAGACTGAGATATCCCAGATATTGGCAACTGGTTAATGAGATACACAGCTGTGGAGAATACCTCCACCCAATAGAGATGAGGAACATTGGAAGCAACAAGTAAAGTTGTGGCAGTCTCCACAAGGTGTCTATGCTTTCTCTCTGTAGAATGGTGTCTGCTCAGGAAGCAATGCACGGTCCGCATCCTCTCCCTTACTAGCATATTGTCCACCATACCGTCTTGTATCTAGTTGCCCAGCTCCATAATCAGGAGGACCAGACAAAAAGGCAACGACTCTACCTGCAGTTACACTCAAAGGAGGAGACAACAACCTACGTCATGATTTTACGTCGTCTGATGACATGAAGAAGATTTGAAACACTACTCATAGGTATAGTTGTTGGACCAAATATTACAGTTTTATTAGCTACGAAATTCATCTCCTCACCTAATGCAAATGTACTTCCATACTCAGATCCAAGGTAGTTCAAAAGTGCTTCCATTGCCACCCCAAACCCTCGCCCACCCATCAAAACACCATCAATCCCTTGACCAGCTGCTGTAGTTCTCTCCCATGAAGTTGTTGGTCTGAGCGTTTCAAGTGCAGATCCAAAACGGTCCTTACAAGTTTCCACCTGGAAGGTAGTTACTGAATTTAGCTAACAAACCAAAAATATATATACCGCCGTGAATTTGTGTGCAGAGAAATATATTGCACAAAAAGAAAATAAAAGTCACTAAACATAGTGGCTGACATACTGGAGCCAAAAACTGTAACAATGGCATGACATCTTCAAGCTCAATTGGTAGGGTACCATCTGTTTCCGGTGGAATGAAAACATTCTTTACAACTGGTATAGGTCCTTGAACATCATACAACCCTAATTTGTGGCTAAAAGTAGCAAGACCAAAGAGAGAACCAGGCTCAAGAGCTGTAAAAAGAAGATTGAATGAGCGAATTTAGTTGTCGAGTACAGCATCATGAAGAAATGTAAAAAATAAAATCTATTTCAAGTAGCAATTATCAACCAACCTTCCAAGGAGGCCAGCAATGCACTTTTAATAAGTTCCAAAAATTCTTCTGAAGCTGAAGTAAAATCCACAAAACATAAATGTCACTGATTTGAAAATAAATAACCAATTTAAAAATAAATTAACATCTCAAGAAGAGAATCCACAGATTAGAAGCACAAAAGATACATGGCCAGAAGATCTTTCTCGTATTGTAACTCTTTAACAAGATCTTTAGGCTTTGATTTTTGAAGAACTCAAAGCCAAGTGAAGGACACATTGGATTAGATATGATACAACTAACTATTTCCTATACAAGGATGGAGTCCATGGATTTCCTCATCCCTGTGGCCCAACCAAAAACATTGAAACTATCATCATCGACCACAATGTCAATATAGCCGACAATAAGCTTACATTTCCATTCCAAATGCAACTACAATGCTTGAAGACTTAAATTAATGTTCCTTGTCAATTCCAAATGGTCTCCTACAAATATAAGTGTTTTTTAATCATCTATATTAAAGTGTTTGAGAATTTTTTGATTAGGTGGCAAGCATGGAAGAATGATGCAAACAAAACGCACGTAAAGCCGTTAAATCTCAAAGATCCAAGTATCGAATTAAGTTCTCCAAAGTTCATATGTATAGCCTTGGAAATACAGTCATGTGAGGCTTTCAAATAATACCCTTCAAAATAAGCATCTTGAAATACATAATTGTTAATTTAACATGAAATGAACTCTCGTTCAAGAGTCAACACCCTCACCAATATCCAAACCTGAACAGCACCTTTCTAAGTCATGAAAAGGTAACAGTAATCGAAAGAAAATCTTTTTTGGCTCTAGTGACATGTATACTCGTGACATTAAACTTCGAATTCTATATCCTAGAATAAAGCAGAGACATATCAACCATTACGAGAAATTACAGCATCCAAAACAAAGCAGAGAAATGAGTTGGACCTAACCTAATTGGATACCAATTCTCATTGTCAACAACAACAACGCAGCCCAACGACATGACTAGAAATCATCAACCTTATTTCGAGGAAAATTATCCCAAACTATACATATGAATGGTCATCATCCAATGTGATCAACTGCAATCATCCAATACATACATTACAACTTCCTCCAAATGAATGACCAATACTTCAACCACTTACAGGACAAATCAATGACCGCAACGTGAACCAGTGGTTATGTGCCAACTAGCAAGATGTTTGCTGATTTGGCATATTAGCTCCCATGCCGCGTCATGGAAAGGTCCGGCCTGGTCCACCTTCAAAAATTCTTTTTTTTTTTTTTTCTTTTTTTGGTAACTTCAAAAATTCTTTGGCCAGGCCTAGCTTAGAGCAATTTCACTGTGGAAAGGTCCCCCAAGGCTATTCAGTATTTAATTCACCCTAATGAACAATAACTATCCTTAGTGAACAGCAACTGCGTTTTGCATCTCCATCCGTATACTGAATAGCCCTGGTAATAAGCAATAAAATATTAGTATTTTTTTTATTTACAAAATAATACAAAATAATTTAATTTGTATTTCGGATAAGATTTTTAATCATTTTCATTACGTCACGTGTCATTATCCAAAAAGACAATTATTGGTGATGGATTTCGATAAGATTTTTATCCAATGTTGTCGTGCCATGTGTCGTTACCTTTTCAGAATCGTTGATGATAGATTTCCGATAAAATTTTTAACCAATTACGTCGCACCACGTGTCACAATCTATTTATAATCTTTGAGAATAGATTTCGACCAGATTTTTAACGAATGACAGCATGCCACATGACATTATTTACAACCTAATCCTTTCTGAATTCTCCATATAATCCACTATCTATCCTCAGAAATCTCACACCAATTTTTTGAAGATCTGTATCATTATTCATAGTTTTTGCTTCCTTCTTCACCAAATCAAAATCTGTATCATTATTCATAGCTTCTGCTTCCTTCTTCACCAAAATCAAAATCTGTATCATTATTCATCGTTTCTGTTTCCTTCTTACAATATCTTCTTCTTCAAGGATGATGTGGAAAATCGATTAACAAGAGGAAGAATTGTTTAACCAATTAGAAGGAATGTTCAATCTCTAGGTGGCCCAAAATAGGAGGGAAGAGGATGAGGAGCGTAGAAGGAAAGATAACAAAGCAAGAATGGGCAGAGCGTCACATTTCCATCGAGTCATCTAAGCTGTGAGTCACATCTGCAGGCCTAGCCGTTCCGAAAACCTTGATAGAAGCAGGCAACGACGAGGTATGGAACTCTTGGACGATTATTTTGTCCATAATAGGGCATTCCCTGATACGTACTTTAGACATCGTTTTAGAATGGAATGACATTTGTTCAACAAAATCATGATTGCTGTTTGCAACCAGGATTCTTACTTTGTGTAAAAGAATGATGCTTTTGGTGCTATGAGTCTCCTTCCTGAGTAAAAAATTATTGTTGCCTTGCGGATGCTTGCATATGAAGCATTTGCAGACCAAGTGGATGAGATAGCGAAGATGGGGAAATCAACCATTCTTGAGTCCCTGATGAGGTGTTGTGGAGCAATCAAATCTATCTACACCGCAAGTACCTTCAGAGACCAACTAACATGGACTTGCAAAGGCTTTCAAAGAAGGGCGAGATGCGAGGTTTTCTTGGGATGATTGGAAGCATCGACCATATGCATTGGACCTGGAAAAACTGTCCAAGTGCATGACAAGGCGCTTATGAGGATAGAAAATGAGCAAAAAGTATCATTTTGGAGGCGGTGGCATCTTTTGATACATGGATTTGGCACGCATTTTTTGGGCTTCCGAGAGCTCAAAATGACCTCAATGTCCTTGCCCAATCCCTAGTGTTCAACGATGTCCTACAAGGAAAGGCACCAAAAGTCACGTACTGGGTTAACGGACATAAGTACGACGGGTCATACTAACTAGCAGACGACATTTACTCAAGGTGGTCATCATTTGTCAAAACAGTTCCACGTCCGTGAAGTGCAAAGGAAAAACACTTTACAAGCTGTCAAGAGGGGTGCAGGAAGGATGTGGAGCGTTGTTTTGGTATCCTCCAAGCTCGATGGGCAATTGTCAAGGGTGCTGCCAGAATGTTTGATGTAGAGTTGCTTCGATCCATCATGATGACGTGCATCATTCTTCACAACATGATTGTGGAAGATGAGTATGATTATGATGTAGTTGATGAATATGAGTACAATTGTGCATCATTCTTGCAAGCCTCCTTTGCACCACGTCCGCTTTCTCCAACTTCCAAAAATATTTAGAATTTGGAGACTTTCCTTCTAAAGGCGTGTTCCTAATGTCACGATCTCGTTGAGCCATTCTTTCTTCTCTAACCTGTTCCCTTTTCTTGCCTAAGTAGCTCTCTTTCTATCTCATTAGCTTGAAATTCTCTCTCAACAGCAGCAGCTTTTGCCTCCTCTCTAGCCTTATCACCCTCAAATTTAGCCATTTCCCGCCCCAAACTCAATTCACCTTGGCAAGCAAGTTCTTCCATATACTTTGCAGAATTATTCTTGGAAGCACTCCCTTTTCTCTTTGAAGCCTTTTTACCTTGAGGCCTAATTGGATAACGGGTCGACCCCGATGCTTGTTCAGGGAGGCATTTTGGGTGTAGAGTGTAGAGGGGTGTTGTTCATAAAAACTTTGGGACCAATAGGCACAACTCTGAATTTAGGACAATCTTTAACAATATTCCAACATTCCCACCGGTTGAATGATTGCTTGTGGTTTTTGAATTTGGCAATATACCAAGATTGTGCTTGAAGTGTCTACATATATAATGCGGGAGAAGAAATAATTATAATGAAAGTAGCTAACACATAAATAATACAAAGAAATAATTATAATGAAAGTAGCTAACAAATAAATAATACAAACAAATAATTATAATGTAAATTTGGGTATAGTACAAACAAATAAATAATATATTGTTACCTGATCCGCTAAATTTTCCTCGCTAAATTCTCTCCACGTACTAAACAATTCAGTAAGTAGTTTCCAACAACTGGACATCGATTCTTTGGTTCTTTTCCCACCAAGTTTCTAAAGAAAACTAGTATGAATAAGACTCCACATTTCTCGCAACTGCATCTCATTACCCATAAGAGAATCATGAGTAACTTCAACCTAACTAGTACACAACGCAACATCTTCAAAAAGCGTCCAATTCGTACCTACATTAGTAGTCATTTTGTTGGAAAAAAATTGGATTGAAACTTCGAGAGAAAGATAGGAATGTGGTTGAAAGTAGTTGAGAAAATGTGAAATTGTGGTGTAAGGTAGAAATTTTTTTTATTAATTTTGTACATTTTTTTAAAATTTTTATTCACCTAATTAATCTCTACCATTGGATTAAAAAAAAAATTGAATTCCAACACTCCAGATTGTGCCATGTGGCACAACGATAATATTTCAGAATTTTAAACCGTTTATTTTATTTTATTTATAAAGGCAAATAACGTGGACCATTGATCTCAGATCCAATGGCTGAAATTAAATAAGGTTTTAAAATTTTTGTTACTGTTGGAAATCCAACGTTCCACAAATTGTTGCCGTTGAAATCCAACGGACGAGGGGAGGCCATGTGGCTTCCCAATGGTAACATTTTCACACTGCACTGCGAGCCCCGCTTCTGAAATCATGTCAGACGACGCGCGCCAATGCTCCAAATAGAAAAAAAAAAAAAAAAAAAAAGTGGCTGACGTCTGGGCGACGTGAGCCTTGCGTTAGGTTGCCTTCAGGCTCTCGAGCTTGCAACTCGTGTCAGGCCTCTCCCTCAGGCTAGCACATGCTGGGCCAAGTCAGCCGGGCTATTTGGCCTTGTTCCATCACCAGTCTATCGGGCTAAACACTACAGTGGAACTGCTCTTATGATATTGCCTGTTGGGATTCTATAAATCTGGCACTTTTCGTCGCACTCTGGTATTTTATGTCAAAGATGCAACGGACAAAAATTTGTACATATTTTTATATCCGGTATCTCCTGTTAATGATGCAACGGATAAAAAATTGTATATATTTTCATATCATTAACATAGAAAGTTAGAGTTACAGTGCACTAAATCAAAGAATTAAATTTAGTTATATAAATATTTCCCCAATCATCACAATTATAACATCATTGCAATGCAACCAACTTAGATGAAGCACATTTTTGATATGGCATGATTGTTACCCTCCCATTTGAAAGAAGCTGAATCAAGAGGCTTAATGTCTTATCTACAGATCGATATTAAGAACATATTACGATACATTGGATTAGAATCAAGAGACACATTTTTAACATACATTGTGACACTTATTTTTAATCCATTAATTTACATTAAA